CTCCGGCCTCAGCCCTTGGGGCCCTTGAGGCCAAGATATGGGGGCACAGACTAGCAGGGCATCTGAGGTCGTCAACCCTGCCAGGGAACACTCCCTCACTGAGGCCCCACGTTCCTGAGACACTAATCCCGCTATCTGGTTAGAAAATTCCAGCACCTTCAGACAGGCCACTTCCTGAAATGTCACTAGAGACGAAGAGGATGCAATAACATCTATCTTCTCAGACCCACTGTCATGCCACACCCACTCCCAGTCTGCCAGAGGGAGATGCACCTTCTTCCACAGCCCCTCCTCACACCTTCCACATCCCCTCTGGCACTCACTGCAAGCAGAGATTCTTCTCGAGCAACAGTGAATGAATGGAAATCCAAAGTCTCTGTAAATTTTCATTGAAATTAATAATAAATTTAAAAAGAAAAAAGTTTCAAATATTAATACCGTTTGAGCCAGCAATTCCACTACTGGGAATATACCATAAGGAAACCAGAACTACCACTCAAACAGATGTGTACACACATAAGTTTATTGCTGTGTTATTCACAATAGTAAAGGGATGAAAGCATCCCAAGTACCCATCAACAAACGAATGGATAGAAAAACTATGGTGCATTCACACAGTGGAATACTATGTAGCACTAAAAAACAAGGAACTCATAAAACATTACACAACATGGGTAACTCTGAAAGAGGTCACCCATTATGCTAGGTGAAATATCTCAGCCACAAAAGGATAAATACTGCCTAACACCACTGTTTTAGTAGAACTGGCATGGGAGGTTGGGGGGAGAATAGGAAAAGAGTGGGAAGATAATTAACAATAAATTGGAAAAGATGAGGGAAAGAACTGTTCAAAAGGAATATATAATTAGGCATTTTATTTTTTTATATATTATTATTAAATTTTATTAGTTTCAATGAACATTCACAGGGATTCTGGTTTTTCACTCCTTCATTGCCGCACCATTCTCTCTACCCTCCTCCCCAGTTTGTTCTTCTTCCCCGCCATCCGAATGTCTGTTTTAATTGTCCAATTGCCACAGTGCTTGTCAAAGTCAGTTCTGATTAATCTCCTTTGTCAGTGTGTCCTTTGCCATTCCCTATCACTCCTCCCTGAGAGAGACTTCACCCTGATTCATAAGGAAAAGGGGATGGTGTATTCTCTTAGCTACTTCCTGCTGAAAAGGGACGCTGTGGGTTTCAGGGTGAAGATCTTCTCTCACTACTCTAAAGGGCCCCTTTGGCAGTAGGAAACACATAGACTATTATGGAGATTGATTTTGGAATTTAGATGCACTCTTATTGATTGTGCTTGGCCGTACACGTTCATATCCTTGAAGATGTATCATGGGGGTGTTGCAACCTAGAAGACACAAATTTGACTAGCAAGTTATAAGTACATGAGTCAAAAATTATGGAAAAGTAAAACAAAGGATTCTTTCATTGTTTTACAAACCCTCCCCCAGGTCCCCTCCACCATGTAGCCCTCGCTCTAGACTCCTGTGATGACAGAAGTACCTAGTCATATATCTCTTTTAAACAGTTTTCTCCCTCCTCTGTTTCAGTGCAGTATACATTATTGAACCCATCTTACTCAGTCTCTCCCCAACCCCAAGGACAGTCCCATTCTACAACAGTGGCATCATGTAATATTTGTCCTTTTGTGACTGGGATATTACACTCAGCATAATGTTCTCCAGAGTCAACCATTTTGAATAATATTGCATGAGTTCCTTTTTTTTAATGCAGCATAGTATTCCATTGTGCGAATATACCACAGCTTCTCTAGCCATTCGTTTGTTGATGGGCACTTAGGTTGTTTCCAACTCCTTGCTATTGTGAACAAAGCTGCAATAAACATGGGTGTGCATAATTAGGCATTTTATGCATGACCACATCTGGAATAAGAGGTTCATCGTAAGGTAGACTAGTGGAGAGGGGAGAAATTGTACAACGATTAATGTAAATTTTTTAAAAAAGAAAGTGTATTGGGGGAATAGAGGAGGTGGAAGGAAAATGTGCAACAATGAATGAGTATCTAACTTTTCTGTAAACTTTTGTTAAAATCATAATAAAATTAAGTATATTTTAAAAAGAATATAGACTTTAAAAAATGTTAACAATTGCTGAATATTGGTGAAGAGTAGAGATGGTTCATTAGACTATTTCCGTCAATCAATGTTCAGTTTACTTGAAATGTTTCACTTGATAGTAGATGGGAGGAGGATAGCTTCTTTCAGGGTGCTGCCAGAAGAAAGCCACATACTGGGATACGTGAGCTGGAATTCAAGGCCCAGTGAATCTGGTCTCCACTCTCCTCATGCTTGTCTTCTGCAGCCACAGTGCCCCACCCCCAGCTTGTATGCCAGCACCCAGAAACCCTCTCTATGCCAAACAGTTGCTCTCTGCCTCTATAGCTGTGTGGTTCTTCCCTCTGCCTTTCCACACTGTCCTGTAGCAAAATCCTAGGTCTCTTGAAAACACCACTCCAGAGCTCCAGTTCAGGGATCCTCCCACTGGCCAGGACGCGCTCTGAGCACTGTGCACGGTACTATCAATAGGCCTGTCTCCGTTGTGTAGGTCAGATGGATCCACATCCCAATCAGCCAGGGGCTTGTATCTCACCAGTGCAGGCCTGGCACACAGTAGGAGCCCAGGAAATGTTTGCTGAATAAACAGAGGGAACTGCCAAAGGAAAATTTATGGTGGTCAGAATGGATGGACAGTTACCAGATTTTTTTAAACATTTGTGTTTTTCAACTTTTCCTCCAGCAGATTTTCAGGAGGTTGTAAATCGCATGGGAGGAGTTTCCCATCTTCCTCCTGAGGAGCAGCTGGTAGATTTGAACTACTAGAGAGGCACTGCCTTTGGGTTAGCAATGCAACTCCTAACAAAGCAAACACTCGCTCTGCCTCTCCCATTCCTCTGTTGGCTTTCTGAGGCTGTAAATCTTTATGGGAGGGGAGACTGCCCATCTTCCTCCCAAGGAAGAACTGATGGTTCAAACTGAGGACTATACACCATATACCTTACCTTCTCTTTCTCTCTCACACACATACACATGCACATCACATATATACACACACATAAAAATGTACTTTTTTAAAAGTGAATAAAGAATGTTTTCCTATAGAGAATAGTTTGAGTCAGCTTGGGTTTTTCATAAACTGAACATGCCTGAATTAGTAACACTATAATAAAAAACTACCAAAAGAACAATCAAGTCTGTCTTGAAGGACTTGCAACCAGGATGCTCCTAAGCGGCAAGAATGGTGAAACTTAGTCTGATAGACTTTGGGCGTGTTGTCAGGAGGGGTCTGTTCTTGGAAAAAGACATCATTCTGGGAACGGTGGAGGGTCAGAGAGAGGAAGCCATTCAACAAGATATATGGACACAGTGACTGGAACAATGGGCTTGAGCATGTCAGAGACGGTGCGGAGAGAGCAGCATAGGGCAAGGTTCAGATCTATTGTTCATAGGGTGACAGAGTCGCAGCTTAACAATAAAATATAATAAAAAACTGTAATGACAATTATGTCAGTTAGGTTTTTCTAACTTTTTATAATCTTAGATATATTTTTCCTCTAATCCTCATGCTGAAACTCCAATGATCCTAAATTAGAAAGGTATGTGTACATGGTATGGTGTATATATATTATGGGTGGTGGTGGGATGGGATGAATGTATATTTTCACTTAGTTCAACAACTTCCAGTCTCAGAGGTGAGTCTTGTGAGTTGGGGCTTCTGAGCTTCCCCCCACCTGCCCCAAGCTGATAAGAGGAGCAGAGAGACCGGTTTAGAGGCGGTGAGTGACAGCCCTGTCCACACTCCTCCTGGGAAGAATGGCTCACATGGTTTGGTGGGCCAGGGAAGGGCCAGCTGCGGCCACACACCCTTCTATCTCTCCTACCTCCCCTGTACTATTGTTTATTCATTCCATGTTTCCCTTCTAATGGACTCACCTTTTGTAACTTAAATAGATTTATTTAAAAGTAAACTTTAGTCACTAATATCAGTGGAAAACCAGCCTCACTTGCCATAAAGAGCAGAAGACGCAAAACTTGCACAATCAGCCTCCAAAGGCAGGATCTCACTCCAATGAGGATGTGACGACTGATGGCAAAGCTGGGGCCAGCTCACTGGGCTTTAAAGGGAGCCCAGGAAGTACTGGAAAGGCATTAAGGGCCCATGAGCACCACAATGAACCTGCTCCATGAGGCCAAAAGAAAAAAAAAAGATGGTTCTCTCTGGGGGATCTTGGGGCACCCCAAGACAGCACAGAGCTGGCTCACAGCCTCAGCTCCCACAGCGTGAGAGGCTCACAATCCACAACACTTACTTAGGATGTTCTCCTTCTAACCTGTGGGGCAGCTCTGAGCTCATTTTACAGATGTGAAAATGGGCCCAGAGAGGGCATATTGTGGCCTGCCCAGGGCCACACAGAGGGAATCCTTCAAACTTCACCTCTTCAAGAGGACCAGCCCTGACTATGACCCCCATTCAATCACCATGGCCTTTTCCAGTCCCTCAGAGATTCCTGCACCATGTATAAATGGACATCAGTCCATAGCCCACAAAGCCCTATGGGCAGGAGGAAGGGTCCACATGGACCTCATAGCCGACCAGGCCCCAGAAAGTGTTAGGCACCAAATAACTGCTCAGGAGGAAAGAATAAGAAAACAGGCTCAGAGACGAGGGGTCAGGGCCAAAGCCACACAGCCAGGATGCACAGGAGACCAGGCTGGGGCCTGGCTCTGGCTGGCTGTAATTGGAGAGTCAGGACCAGTCTCTCAGTCACCCCAGACCCCAGGCCTGAGCAGCCAGGGCAGAGCATGCCCAGTTTCAGGTAGGGACCTGAGGGCCCACTGCAGCCAGGGAGGGGAGTTGCCAAAGGTAGGCAGAAGATATGGGGGGTGAGGGGCTGGGGTGAAGAAGGGGCTGGTTAGACCATGGGCACCACCAACTCTGACTGGAAGCAAAGAAAAAGGAGTAAAACCAAATGTCCTTGGAAATTCCTTTAGTGCTCGGCTGTCCATGAAAACAGGATAAAGTAGCTTCCTCTGTCTGTGCTCCAGCTGGGCAGGGTGGAGGCACTGGGCTCGGGCCAGAGCAGCCTGGAGTCAGACAAGGATGGGGTGGGACTCTGAGCTGGGGAAGAGTCTCCAGGTTTGGCTACTTCAGGGCGTCCAGATGAGTGCAGACCTGGGAGAAGACATTGTCCACGGTGCCTTCAGCATTGACCTGTAGGGAAGATGGGCAGTCAGGGACGAGATACCAGCAAGGGCTCCTGTAGCCCCACACTCAGTGGCTCCCACCAAACTAGGAATGACTGGAGGACCTCCTTGCAAGGCCAGGCCTGGAGCCCCCAATTCATCAGCTCAAGTGTATGGTAGTCCATCTTGAACCAATGTGAATACTGAGGCCCAGAGAGAATGGCTGGCCCTAGGCTAAAAGGCAAGTTAAAAATGAGCCAGGGGAAAAAATTGAGTTTAGGGGCTCCTTCTGGACCCACCTTGCGCACAATGCCCCGTTTCTCATAGAAGGCGATGACAGGTTCTGTGGCCTTGTAATAGGTCTCCAGTCGCTTCTTGATGGTCTCCTCATTGTCGTCGACACGCCCACTAGTCTCGCCACGCTTCAGGAGCCGTTTGGTCATGGTCTCAGCCCCTGCGTCCACATACAGCAGCAGCGTGGGCTGACCAATCTGCGGGTGAGGGCAGAAATCACAAGGGCTGAAGTCTTGTCCCTTGGGGCTGCCTCATTTATCACCAAGAAGTTCTCACTCAAAACCCACACAGACCTTTAACCTCCTCTCCAAAACAGCCTGAGGGATTGTCCTAAAACTGACCTGCCCTATCACTCCCTTGCACAAACTTCTACCATGGCCCCCAGTGCCCTCAGGAAAGTTCAAACTCCTTCCTTTGAGAAGGAGCTGTGTGGTGAGACTCTGACTTCCCAATCCCATGCCTCTCCTTTATTCTGTTTCAGTCACGATGACTTTGTCTCTAGTCAAAGCAAGTTCCTCCCCACACCGAGCCTTTACTCAGGACCACAAAGCCTCCTCCACCTTCACTTCTACTTCACCTTCACCTTCACCTTCACCCTCACATCTTCACCTCAACACCAACCACTCTCCTCTAGGTTAAAGCTCAAATCTTACTTCTGCAAGTCAATGAAAACCCTCACCCCTAAATGTTCTTCCAGCCCCAGTACTTCTCCCTCAGGCATGTCTCCTGAGGGTGTCTATTATTTAATGTTCTCTTCCCATACAGGCCGAGACCTCTATCCTGTGCCTGAGGGCTGAGCGAAACAGTGGGGACAGCAGAGTTCTGAGGGTTCCAAGTAAGGGGACTATCACTGGAATAATGTGTCAGCCCCAGGGAGGACTGAGATGGGTAAGGAGAAAGAAGTACAACTAGGTGAGTCCTAGCGACAAAAGTAGAATTCAGCTACTACAAAGGTCAGTGGTTTGAACCCATGAGAAACTCTACAGGACAAAGATGGGGCAGTGTGGGAATCTCTGTGGGCAGTTTGACCCTGCCCTGCAGGGTTGCTGTGAATCAGAACTGACTCAATGGCAGTGGGTTTACACAGGCCCTGCCCAGGCTTCTGTCTACATTGAAGCCAGAGAGGGAGTCCCCTTTCGTGCCTGACCACAAGTTTCCAAAAGAAGAGGACTTGCCTCTCAGTCACCATCAGACCCGCAGTCCTGGTCCGGCCTGAGCTAAGCACACTGTGTGAAGAAGGGCCCTGGGACTTCCACTGGAGCTAGAGGAGAAGTGGTGGGTAAAGGTGAACAGAGCCAACCATGGCTGCCAGGGCCTCAGAATTGGGATCAGGGTCCCCACAACTGTCTCCAAAAGTTGCTGCCCCAGACTTCCACATCCAGGCCCTGGGGCACCGCTTGGCAAGGGACTTGGCAAGTAGAAGCCAAATCTCCAGTGCCAGACTGGCATGAACTTCATCCAGTCTCGCTTCTATCTCCTACTTCCTGTGTAACCTGGAGCAAGCCACTTACCCTCGCTGAGCCTCCACTCTTGGTTGTAAAAGGACCTAATTCCCATCCTTGTCTTCTGAGTAGTTAAAGATTCTGAAGCTCCCATCTTGTAGATGAGGTGAGTAGCAGAGCTGGGCCTACATCAGAGCCCCGCTTCAAGGTCACCTACCCCATTCCCCTCCATTAATTGCTAGTTCAGATTCAGTCTGTGATTCATCAGAGTGTCCAGGGTCCACATACCAAACCCAACTTCCTCCTGCCTATTTTGACCCTTAGCAGCCATACAGGACAAAGGAGAACTGCCTCATAGGGTGTCCAGGATTGTAACTATTTTGAAAACTGTATTTTCAAGCCTATGAAAGTAGCCTGCCATATTTTTCTCTTATGAAGCTGTTGGTGGTTTTGACACACCAGCCTTCCTGTTAGCAGCCAAGGTCTTTAACTCCTGCACCAGCAGGCCTCCCAAATCACTCTATATACACCACAGACAGCTAATGACTCAGTCTCAGTCTTAGACAATGATTGTTGTTGTTGTTTACCGTAGAATCAGAACTGACCCATTGCCGACCCTCTGGTGGGTTTTCAGAGGCAGTTAATCTCAAGGGAGGAGACTGCCCACCCTTCTCCACAAAGCAGCTAGTGGGATTCGAACCACATACCTTTAGGATTGCAATGCAGCTTCCTGCCACAGGGTAGGCTGGGTAGGCTGGGTATTCCGAAGGAGGTTCTGGCTATGGGGGTCTCAGTTTCCCAGTCAGTACAAGGTACAAAGCTTGAGGAGTTGGTGTTGAGCACTGCTTGTCCCAAGGAAAGTTCTGAGCCCTTAACCCAGGCAAGAGAGCCACAACCCTAGACACAGCCTTCCTCCACTCTCAAGGCATTGGCGCCCCCTGGTGTCCAAATCCAAAAGCAGCTCTCCAGACCCTTGGAGACCAGCTAGGCTGGGCAGTCACTTCAACACCAACCACCACCACTATTCCCTAGGTTTCAGCTCCTATAAAGGTCAGTGGTTTGAACCGATTAGAAGCCCCACGGGAGAAAGATAAGGCAGTCTTGGAAGCCTTGTGGGCAGTTCGACGTTGACCTGCAGGGTTGCTGTGAATCAGAACTGACTCAATGGCAGTGGGTTTACCTTGGCCCTGCCCAAATCTACACTGAAGCCAGAGAGGGAAGCCCTTTTCCTCTGCCTGACCATGAGCCCACTACCCTCAGTAGTACCTGCAAGAGTCCGGGAAGAATGGGAAGAATGGAGACGTTTATTTATCCCATTTTCTAGATGTGGTTCTGAGGCTAAGGGACAGCATCACACCGCCAGCTTACATGAGCCAGGACACTATGTCCCTTGGGGCTGCCTGAATAAGGGGCTGAAAAGAGCCCAGCCAACTTCACTGCACAGACAGGGAAACTGAGGCCCAGAACAAGGGACTTTTTTGAGATCCTGCAAAGTTACACAGAGCTCAAGAAAGAGTCTCCTGACACAGAATGAGGCTCGAAGCCATGGCAGCGCAAAGAGTGGAGACAGCTTGCAGTGCAGGGAGGATGTGCCCCCTCCAGTTGGTCCTCTTGCTTACGATGCCCAAATTTGTCCTGCAAAGGTCCTTCCTGATCCTTCTGCTAGGAAGCTCCCCCTGCGGCCCCCACCTCACTGACCTGTCCCACCTAGGAAAGTGCAGCCCTCTGTTCCTTCTATGTGATGCCAGAAGTAGGAGTGTGTATGTGGGAGTATGTATGTCTGTGCCATATGCATGTTCACACCTGTGTGGCTGCATGCACGCACCTTCATAAATGCACATGCCAAGTATGTGTGTGCACGCATTCCAGTGTGCATGTGTGTGAGCTCTGTGTGCAGTATATATGTGCCTTTGTACTGCCTATGTATGTATACATGCCTTCATCTCTACATGTGCTCATGCAATGTGCCCCATTTGTGGAAGGGTTGCCTGGTGGGTGTCCATTCTAGGAATCTCAGAGTCATTGTCTTCAAAGTCCACTCTTTCTAGTTAGACTTCTGTGGCTCCTGAAAGAAAACCAGGCTCCTCTCTCTGGCATTTAAGGCCTCCAGCCAGGTCTGGACCTCTCTTTCCCTTGTGACTCTCAGTCACCCTGGTCCCCATCCTCTGTTGACCTCTTATTATACAGCCCCATCCATGTTATTCTGTTTTCCTCCACCAGTGTGTTTATGTGGTACCAAACCCCACTCTTAAAGGGTGCATTTCTCTAATCTCTACAACTACCCCTCTGGGGATCTGTCACTCCTCATATTGCTGATGGAGAGGCTGAGACACAGAGAAGTGGGGTGACAGGCCCAAGGTCACAAGTGGTTGAGCTGGAACCTGAGCCCAGTTTGGTGAACTCTCAGGACTGGTGCCTCCCTTCTATGCCTCCTCTTGCAGTAAGTCTTCCCTGGTTGCCCCTCTTTACCCACTTTCTCTTTCTCATCCTCCCTTCCTCCTCTCCCCCTTCTTCTCCTCTCCCATTCTTCTCCACTCCCCACCCCCCAGGAATCGATCTCCCTCTGCTCAGCACCCATACAACTCTGTCTGGCCACCATGGCCGCCTACATGTGACTGCCCTGCATCACAGCTCCAGGCCATCTCATCCAGATTTACACCTTACCCTTCGCTCAAACTCTTCTCCCTGCTGCACCTCCCGTGGGTAGCCGTCAATCAGGAAGCCTTTGGAAGTGTCAACTTTGGCCACCATGGCATCTCGGAGCATGTCCAAAACTGTCTCCTGGAGTCACAGCAAAGAAGAAGGGGCCATGAGCTTTCTTCCCCATCTCTCCTCTGGGCCTTTGCTTTGGCCAGGCCTAGCTCCTGGAAGTCCCAGCCTCAGTCCATCTCAAACCGGTCTCCCTCTCCAGGAACCTGAACCCTGAACCTCTCCTCTGAACCCTGAGGCCCTACACTGTGCAGTGACTGACTGGGTCATTCATTCATTCAACAATATTTCCTGGGCCCCTCCTTGTAGCCTTCTCCTATCCTGGGCCCTGAGGACACAGCTGTGAACAAACATGTCCTTCCCTGCCCACAAGAAGCTCACATTCTGAGGAAGGACAGACAATTAGACAGCCCATTTACTAATTTCTCAGTATGGCACAGGCTCCATGAGCAAAGAAAGGGGCTACCAGAATGAAAAATAGGGGGTCTCAAATCTGAAGAGTCAGGGAGGTCTAAAAGCTGAGGTAGGAAAAAGTTTGGTGAGTTCAAGGAACAGGAAAGAAGCCAGAGAGGAGAGTGAGGGGAGAGCTGACAGTGAGGTCAGCAGCACCATGTCCTACAGGGCCTTGGAAGCCTCTGGAAGAAAGTTCTAGGAGCGACAGAGGGTTCAGACTCAAGAAGGGTCACAGTCATTCATGAGCTCTGCTGGTTCATGTCCATTCAGGGTCACCCTTACCCTGTCCCCAGTCTACCAGGGCCCAGCTCACTCACCAGTGGTACCAGCTGTCCCTTCTCCATGATCTCCGACAGCATCTTGCCCCTGGCTGAGCCTGAGCTGACCTCGGCCCGCAGGAGGTCCCCAGTGGACAGGTGGGTGTAGCCATACTTCTGGACAATCTTCTCACACTGGGTGCCCTTCCCTGAGCCAGGCCCACCTGCAAGCGCCCAACCATTCAGCACCAAGAAACGAAGTCCCAGAAGGGACAGGGCTACCCATCAAGGGTCGCCCTAGTGGGCAGGCCCAGGCCAGGCTCCCACAGGGCCTGCAAAGACCCCATCCTCCACCACCACTCTGCCACACGACCCAACTTCAAAGATGTGTAACTCACCCACCACAAAGATGATCTTGGTCGTCTTCAGCTTTTCTGTGGGGGAGATAAAGTATCCAAGGTTACTCACTTGCTTGACACAGGACCAGAGGCCATCTGGCTGGTCCCTGCCACCAGAAGCAGACCGGACTTAGGCTCCTGTTGAGAAGGCAGACAAGCTACAGGCCTGAGTGGGCAGTGATGGGCTGAGGGAAGCCCAGAGTCTGGGAGAGGTCAGGGAGGAGAGAGCATTCCAGGCGGGGGCCCAGTACAGGCAAAGACCCACAGGTCAGCCCTCATGGCCTTTTTCTGGGAGTGACTAGACTGCAGGGACAGGGTCACCTCTAGCCTTGATGTCTTCTGCATGGCGGAAGTCATCTGATGTAGAGTGGCAGGTCCCCATGGTCTTGTGCTGCTGTGTCCCTGGCCCTCCCCACTTTTAGGTCCCAGCCCTGCCCATAGCCAACCTCTTAAGACCAGCATTAATGTTGAGTTGGCAACTACAACATATGTTGCCATGGAGACGGTTGCTGGGGAGGAGGGCTAAAGTGGGCATGTGAAGCCCTTGCCAGGAAAGCAAGGAGATGAGTTTCATTTGCAACTTTTTCCTCACCAGCCCTAGAACATAGCAAGGCCACAATCCCACTTGGAAGAGGGAGGAGATTGGAGCCTAGAAAGGCAGGGGGCTTGCTCGGATGGCTACAAAATTGGAACTAGAACTCAGGCCCTTCTTCCTGAATCTCCTACCCAAGAATGTTGGAGCCTGAGGGAATAGAGGATTGGCTAGATCCCACTTCCCTGTATGAGTTTAGGAAAGAAGACGTTTCTGCTCTCTCTGGCTCTCTGCCTATGCCAGTAAGGGGCCAGGCTGGACACTCCAAGCACCTTCCTAGCCATGAGGCTGGGGGCTCCCTATTGCTGGGTCCTAAGGGGTACCACAGGCCTGTGTACAGGGCATGGGCCTAGGGATGTGGAAGGAGGGTAGCCCCTCCATGGTGGGGTGATCTCTGGCTTCAGGCACAGCAGCAGACAGCTGACAGCTGGGTTCCTTTAAGAGTCATATCAACCAAAGCAAAGTGCCAGAGACAGGAGGGGCATGCTGCCAGTACTGGGTCCAATCTGAGCTCTGCCCGCCCATGTCTCTCTCTCTAGCGACCAGCCAATAGAAATTAGGAGGGCCCAAGGCATCCTTAAGGCCCACCCTCACTAGATAGTAAAACCCTCCCTGAAAAGAAGCAGGGAGTCTGAGATCTATAAATACTTAGGGGGTATGCTTTGGAGACCCTGCAAGAGGGTAGGGGATGGAAGATACATCAATTCTAAAATTATTCTTGGAGCTACTGACTCTTGTGAGGCCTCAAGAGGATGTGAAGCCCCCAGAAAATCCCCCTCATCCCCAGCTGACCAGAATCCCTCCCACCTCCTCCCAGAATGCCTCATCAAATGCATACCCCCTCTACAGATGGGTACATTGAGGCCCAGATAGTGAGTAGGAAAGGGGAGAAACGGTCATACCTGCCATCCTGCTGAGATCCAAGAAGCCGCGTCAGCACACTCTGTAAGACAAGGGCAGAGGCCAGGTGAATGAGGGGGATTTACTCTCCTTCCCATCTCTGTTTCTACCAAGCCATCTCCAGAGAGCAGAGTGTGCATGTGCCGGGCCCCAGCATCGCTCTAAAGGCAGAGGAAGTTGCTAGGGACCAGGGAAAGGCCAAGAGGCTGAGCAACCTTAATAAAGTCACCTTTTCTCAGGGTGCCTCAGCTTCCTCACCTGTCACAGGAGGGCAGCAACCCCCTCCTGTCCTCACCTGTTCCCGTCAGCCTAAGCGGTGTAAACAGTGAATGCAGCAAAGACTGTACTGCTGCTCCCCACACCACCACCGGAAACCAGGACGCAGTCCAGCAACTGTAGACACCTTGACAACGCTCCCCAGGGCTCTCTCTATAGTCACCTCCCTCGTCACACCTCACTGTGCCATCTCCCTCATCTCTTTTTGTCCCTAGCTGGAATGGAGTTTGGAGAAGGACCTAAGAGACACCCTAATTCCAGGGGTTAAAATCTCCAGGAGCCCCTTACAGCATTTGAAGAGCAATGAACCCAGGACCTCAGCCAATGCAGGACCTCACTCCAGACCTACACAGCCCCTGCCCTATCATCTCCTGGAAGACCTTGTTCCACTGCCCCCTTCCCTCTGTACACAAACACCAATCACTCTGGAGACTCTACCCTGTGCTTTCACAGGTTCTGACCCGCAGCCCCCTCCCTACTGTCCCCAGTTCACCATACCTGCATCAACACCTAATTCCTCTCCAATCCATTCAATCCCCTTCCCTACCACTTTGTCATTAGAAACAAGTAGTTTAGACACCTCTTACCCACCTCACCCCCACCCCAGCCTTTGCATGGCTCTTCCTGCCTCCAGACAATGGCAACCTAGAACTTTCTCTGACAAGCATCAAATCACATTACTATCCTGTTTAAGCTCTTCCAAAACAAAGCTGGGGCCACTTGGCACAGCTGAGGGGGCTTATGATCTAGCTTCTACTACCTTCTCTTTATCAGCTGCGCCTGAACAAGCAGCCCCCCTTTTTCTCCACTCACACCCTAGCTTTTATTGGTGTTCCACCCAAGACCTGACAGGCCTTTCCCTACCTATTGCTTAGATCTCAGCGTGTCACCTCCTTCAGGAAGTCTTCCTGGCTTCCCCCAACTCCTGTAGGTACCTTCTCTAAACTCCCCTGACTGCAGCCTGTAAAGAGCTCTGGTGTCAGGTGTTAAGTGTCACACTGCTAACCCAAAGATCAGCAATTCAAATCCAGTCTCCTCTCATAAAGATTTCCAGCCTCAGAAACACAGTGGAGGGTTACAATGAGTCAGAGTTAACTAGGAGACAGGCCTAAGTGCAGAGCTAGGAGAGCCTAGGGTGGAATTGGGAGGGCTGTGGCCTAGGAGTCTACAGGAACTGGAGCGTAGCAGGAAGAGACTTGCTCAAGAGCCTGGCTGGAGCTGGACTTGGCTCTGGGTTTTCCACACTCCAGAGCCTGGCACCTAGTAGGGCCTTCAGCAGCTCTGCTGACCATCCCAGTTGCTCATGGAACATGAATCATAGGTCTTTCCTGCTGAGTGTGCTTTGAGGGCTACAAGCTGCCAAGCACCCCATGGCAGCTGTTTGGGGGAGGAGGGTCCTGGAGCCAGGGCTAGCCTGCAGTGGCACCTTGGGGAGTGGCCTGGACCCCACCTCACCTCTCCCCTTTCCGGTAACCTAAGTCCCTCTGTCCTCCTGGCACCTGCCACTTCCTTGGTCTAAAATAACTCGAGTCGTGAGGAGGCCTCAGAATCCAGGGGGTCAGGATGGGGTTGGGTTACGGCTCAGCACCCAGGCCTTATAAGGTTCACATATAAGGTCTTATAAGCATAGACATCTAGCATCTCTTAGTACAACTGGGCTGAGGGGCCAGGGGTGCTAAGGCTCAGGGGGGCAGTAACTTAATCCCAAACACAAGATAAGTCCCAGGTGTCCCAGCTCCTGACCCACGGCCAGCCTGTCCAGTAGTTTGTGACAAACTAGTGTTCAAATCCCAGTTCCTCACTCAGCTGTGTGACCTTGGACATCCAGCTTCCCCTCTCTGGGCCTGCACCCCAGACCTTCTCTTGCTGCTGAAGACTCTTGGGTGGGTAGCTAAGCAGTACTGACCCCAGAGCTTCCACCTTTCCCAGGAGGCTGGGGCAGGAGATCCAACATCCAAAAGTCTTCTTGTGTGCCCCAGCATCAAAGAAGAGCCCCTTCATGCACATAGGCAAACCAAGTCCTTTGAGTCAGGGGGCCAGGACACAGCACTACCATCCCCAGGCCCCAGATGAGACGAGCCACTGGCAGAGCCTCAGAAATGTTGGTCAGGACAAAGAGGTGACCATCTAGAAGGGTGGGAGGAGCACACACACACACACACACACACACACACACACACACACACGGATCCACAAAGGCACATACACTGTGGCACACCCAGAGCCTGTGGAATCCAGACACAGAGGCACACAGATCCCAATCATGGATACATACACACACAAAAAATCCATGGATACCCTGACACATACAAACACACCCTCTCCCTTCCCCCTCCCTGGTGCAGCTTCCCTAGCTCCCCCAATAGAAGCACACACACATGAATACACACTAACCTGGGGGAGAGGTGTGGGTGGGCGCCAGGGGCCAGCGTTTGCCCTGCCGTCCTCCGCTGGCCGCCTGCAAAGGCGACTATTTATAAGGCTGTCAGCGCGTGGCATGCCGGGAGCCAGCGCTCCGTGATGGCAGGGAAAGAGGGAAGGAGGGGGAGCCGCTGGGAGAGGAGGGGGCTGGACTCGATGGAGCTATGCTTGGGCTTGAGAACAAGGTCTGCATCTCCACTGTGTACTCACTGGTGACCGTGTCTGCGTGCCCGCTAGTATGAACTGCACTTTAATGTTTGCCAAGAATTCTTCCTTCCTCTAGAACTTCCACATTACTCCAGGAAAACAAGGCCAGTCTGTGTTTGTGTAGGGGAAACTGAGGTCCAGTGAGGAAAGAGGTTTTGTATAAGATTCCACAGTTAGTTGTTGGCAGAGAGAGAGAGAGGTTAGAACCAGGGAGGAAGAGGAATGGCTTTGCTCGCCAGACCAGTCTCCCAGGTCCCGATCCTCAGATCTGAGCTGATATCACCTGAGATTAGGAGGGATTAAGGAGTTGTTCTATGAAAAGGCATGTAGTTTGAATCCACCAGTTGTTCTGGGGAGAAGGTGGGCAATTTACAGCCTCTGAAAACCCACCAGAGGACCAGCTATTAATCAGTTCCAACAGGATGGTACATAATGGTGACCACAAAACCCCCAAGGACCCTAAAGACCACCCACATATCTAATATCCCCCCCCCCAGTTGGTGACCAGGACTTCAAAGATTCTGGTAACCAACTCTGCCCCATGAAACTCTCTGATGTCTGGAGTGTTCCAGTGAGTGAGCCCTAGAATAGAGTGTTCAGAACTCTGATGCTCAAATGAGGGACTGATTAATCTCATTAAAAAGAATCATTCCCATTAACTGAGCACTCATTATGCACCAGGTGCTGGGCGGAGCACTGGCCTCTGTCGGTATTGAGGGGGAAAGAGAGGTTCAGATACCTCTAACCGCCTGCCTGAGGTTCCCAGAGAGAAAGTGATGTTGGCGTTATCAACAATGTTTATTCAGTCTTTAAAAATATATATGAAGATAGATTTATTAGAAAGTTACATCCCAAAGAGGTAGATCTCCCTGCTAGAAATATCGAGGATAGGCCTATAGAGTCTTTTGTGGAGACTTACCCAAAGTAAAAAAAAAAACAGCTCAAAAAAACAAACAAACAAAAAAAAAAAAACACCTCAAACTCATTGCTAGGATCAGAACCAACATAGCTGACCACCAGCGGATTTTGCAAGGCTGTAAATTCCATCAGAGGAGATTGACACATTTTCTCTCACAGAGCCACTGCTGGATTTGAACTGCCTGTCTAGGTTGGCAGTGTAACTCTCTACCTACTGGGCTACAAGGGCCAGGGTGACAGCTGAAGTGAAGGGCATGAAGTTCATGTCCATGACCACTAGACTATGTCATGTCCTTCCACCCCACCCCCCATATTATGCCCCTGAAGTAGAGAGTGGATTGAATTGAGGAGTTTGTCTTGTCAGCACTAGGGAGCCATGGAAGGTATTGAAGCAGGACACTGACACCACCAGGAGAGTGAGTTTGCCATAGGAGGGTGGCATCTTAGCAACAATAGTAGCCAGGACACCAGAAGGCCTGGGTCTTGGAACTAGACAAGGGTCTGTCCTTCATGGGACCTTAGTTTCTTCACCTCAGGATAAGAAGGCCACACCACGTTTAATCAGACATCCTGAAATGGAAGCTGTTTAAAAAGCTCTTGCTGGGTGTATTCATTGATGCAGTACTCAGGGAAAGCAAATTAACGGTATAACTACAATATATAAATGTGTTCTTTCACAATTCTTTCAGAAATCCATTTCAAGGACACAAACACGTGTGTGTGTGTGTGTGTGTGTGTGTGTGTGTGTGTATTTCCCAGGCCCAGGCGGGTTCTTAACCACTAGCAGGAAACTGTTGGAGAGATGGGAGCAGCGGGGTAGCAAAGGGGAGACTTGAGAGTTAACTGTCAACATGAAAAAGGAAGTTGGAGGTTTGGGGGCAAGAAGCCCTGGAGCACATCACTGGCCTGAACAAGTAAGCAACTGTATACGCACACACATACGTATTCCAAGATGCACTTTTTTTTTTGCTTTTATAATCTCTGAAATCAAGTAATCTTATCATTAGCAGTTATCTTCGAGTCTATGAAATGAAGCAAAACTGATAAGGCAGAATGGAGACACCCCACCCCCCAGCACTCATGAAGGTGAGGTGGGACCTTCATTTCTTAAGGCTTCACCTTATCCTTTTTTTAAGAAAAAAGAAAAACAAAAACCAGCATCTATTACTTAATGATAGAATAATTTTTAAAAAAAATTTAGACTGCCAA